CCTTTCTTCTCTTCCTCCCACATGGACCCATTTTTCTCCTTGACCATCAAATGTCAACCGCCTCCTCCTCCTCACCCGTCTTCCTCTTCCACCCTCCTCTTCCGCCGTCGCCTCCACACGACTCCAACCACTCTTACCTCACAACTCTAGGCTTCGGCTACTCCATAGCCATAGCTCTCGGTTTCCTAGTCCTCCTTTCCACCGTTCTTTTATCCTCCTACATCTGTTGCCGCGACTCTCGCCGTCGCACAACCGCCGTCGAATCCACCGTAGAACGTGGCGTGAGCGTTATTCTCCCTCGCGTAATCTTTGTCTCCGAAGAAGATGATCTTGAAGCGGGTGACGTCAACGTGGGACTTGATCAAGCCGTCATAAACTCTTACCCTAAGTTCCACTTCTCAAAAGAAACCTCCGCCGCGTCTTCCGATGGTTTTGGCGGCGGAGGAGACACGACGTGTTCGATCTGTTTGTGTGAGTATAGAGAAGCGGAGATGTTGAGGATGATGCCAGAGTGTAAACACTACTTCCATTTATGTTGTCTTGATGCGTGGCTTAAACTCAACGGATCTTGTCCGGTTTGTCGGAACTCGCCGCTTCCGACTCCGACATCTACGCCTCAGTCAACACCTTTGTCGGAAGTTGTGCCGCTCTCGCACTATGCGGCCGATAGAAGAAGAGCAAGAAGATGAGATTATTTTACATAGATCTATTCGCCTAATTAGGGTATTATTATTGTTTTTGGCTCCGTTTCATTACAATTTCACTGCTTTGTAATTAAACGTTCCGTTAAAAGTGGAGTTTGCCATTAATATCACTGAAATGAAATTCATTTTGAAATTTGAACGATTTGCTTTCACATGTTTTATCCCTTGTTGACGTACGGTTTAAAATCTAACACAAGGTTGTAAACTGTGACATGAGTTTGAACAGTGTAACTTTAGTAGTAGATTTTTTTGGTTGTCGGAAATAGATGTTTCTAAAGCTGAGAACAAAAAGAGTCAAGGTTAGTAGTAGCATAGGAATAAAATATGGTTGATTACTCATGTAGACTATATATTATTTTTATAAATGAAATAGACATGCTAAGATAAATTTCCATAAGCTTATTTACATTTTTCTTTACAAACTGTATGATAGGTAACATAGCTACGATTAGTACGTTCCAAACGAAGATTGCAACATGCCTAATTCTGAGAAATGTTGACTTCAAGCGAATCTGATTTTCTCCTCTTACGTGCCTCAAACGTCCTTGTTCTATGGTAAAGCGCACGTTAGTCATCAAACTTGAGGAGCTTGGGTGATGTGAATGTACTTTATAATTTGAATATATTTGTTTTAAGTCATAAAGAATGTGAATGCGTTAATGGTTGTTAATTGACTTAGACTAGTCCAAAAATCCGCTTCTATACCTCCCCGCACTATCTTGTGTTGAAGCTTAGTGGTAAATGCCTTTGTTAATAAATAATTAACCACGCTTGGATTTAGATTACATGGGTCCACGTACACTTTACATTTCCCATAACATTCGACCTACACGTAAGCCAATGACGTGAGCGAGATTAGAGTAAGAATGTAAGACGACATCGTTTCGAAACTTGATTAATATATTTAAAAAACGAGCGTGAAAAGCTCACGATCTGGTATCAATATACGTCCAGAATTAACTCGTGGTGGTCGGTTACATAATGAGAAAAGGTTATGACACGCATGACGCACCTTCAGCGTATTGTTTTCCTCCTTTGCGTGTTGCCTACACGTTCGTCAACGAAACGTTGACTTTCTTTTCCCACCATTAAAAAATAAAAAGACTTAACGCCGTTAAACGACGACATTCTCTCATCCGAACTTCACGCTCGGGCTCCGAACCTCACGCTTCGTGATTATAAAACCTATTATTTCTCCCCCTTTACTTCCCCTCCTCTCCGATAGATATTTTGCAAATCCTCTGTTGAAATTCGAAATCAATGGCGGAAGAAATCGAGAAGTCGTTACCGAAGGAGGAGTCTCTGATGGACAAGATCTCCGAGAAGATCCACCATCACGATTCGTCGTCTGATTCGGAGTACGAGAAGCCTGATTCGCCATCGGCTGTGAAATCGAAGATCTATCGTTTGTTTGGTAGGGAGAAACCTGTTCACAAGGTTCTCGGTGGTGGAAAACGTATGAGTCTTTACCTTTTTTTATTGAATCTCTCGTTGCTCTTGTTATTGTACATTGTCTATAGCTTGATCGTTTTTGGTTTTTTAATGCGTTGATCTTTCAGATCTGTTTGCTGATGATATGATGTGTTAAAAGTAGTTTTCAGAATCAACTTAACCGGTTTATATCAATCCTTTGGTTCATGCAGCTACTAAATGATAAATACATATAGTTTTCTTGATCAATTTTGAAGGTGAATGATAGATTTATGCGAATGTTATTTTCTCGCTATGATTGTTCTGATTCGAAATGTGATAGTAATTTAGGTATCAAAAGAAGGAAGGAAGGCTAGAATGTTGTTTTGGAATTGAGAGTATAAGCTTGGTTGATTAGATGATGACATTTTCATTTATCTTATGTTGCTTTTTGGAGAATTTTTGTTACATTTTTCGGATTTGAAAGCAGTTTATGTGGTTAATATTTGTGTTATTGACTTCCAAGTTTTGATGAATACTATTAGTCTCTGTTTGTCTGCTTTTTTTTTTTTTTAATATGTATTATTCTCTCATGTCTTTGCCTTGTCTCTGCTTTATCAATGAATCTTTGCAGCTGCTGATGTGTTCTTGTGGAGGGATAAAAAGCTGTCAGCGGCTGTTCTTGGTGTGGCGACTGCTATTTGGGTTCTCTTTGAGCTGGTTGAGTATCATTTGTTGAGTCTTTTGTGTCATGTTTCGATTCTTGCTCTTGGAGGCTTGTTTCTCTGGTCCAATGCTCACACTTTCATCAAAAAGTAATAATATTTTCAGAGCTTTGATTACTGCCTTTAATTGATGTTTGGTTTCTTTTTTTCTCAAATTCTTGTTTTAATTTCTACAGGAGTCCACCTCAGATTCCAGAAATCCATGTTCCTGAGGAGCCTTTCCTTTTGATTGCTTCTTCCCTGAGAAACGAATTAAACCAGGCTTTTGTTATCCTACGAAGCATTGCCTTAGGCAGGGACCTTAAAAAATTCCTCATGGTATGTTTCATTCCTTATTACTGACATTTTCAACCTCATTAAACAAACCTAGAAAATGACCCTCTAACTCATTGTTCATGAACCTGATGAAAGTGATTGTTTGGTTGGTAATTTACATTGTTAATGTTGTATTTCAGGTTGTTGTTGGTCTATGGATCATCTCTGTGGTGGGCAACTGGTGCAACTTCCTGACTCTGGTGTACATCTGCTTCGTGTTGTTGCACACAGTGCCAATGCTGTATGAGAAACACGAGGACAAGGTTGATCCCTTTGCAGAGAAGGCGTTGAAGGAGTTGCACAAACATTACCTTGTGTTTGATGAAAAGGTTGTGTCTAAGATTCCCATTGCTTCCTTCAAAGCTAAGTTGGGTTGAAGACAGACTTGTGCGGGTTTCCTTTTTGCTTTAATTTTGTTTTAATATTTTGATCAATGTGAAATTGGTGGTCATTTTCAGAGTTTTGCACGCTAATGACCCAAAATGTTATGCATCACATTTTGTTTGCAGCTCTTTTGTTGTATTTTTTTGATAATTAAAAAGAAACTATTTGCCTTTTACTGCTATTTGTGAAGAACACTTGAAATAATCAAACGTGTTGAATATTCTTTTTTCTTCCCGTAAGATGATAGCAAACATTGGAGAAAATAGCTTCAAGTTCTTTTCATCATCTCCCTAACAATGTTATATAATAGAAAAATTAATGGGATTGGGATTAAAGTGTGACCAAAGATTGGTGTTCGCAAACATCTTCATGATTAGGCGGGTCATCTAATACGGGCTATGATACGTACCAGTTGATTGTGCGAAGATGGGCTTTAAGTAAAAGTCCAGTTCGCAAAATATGAGCCTAAATCCACATCCGTTGATTAATGATATCTAACGGCTATGATACGTCCTAGAAGCCCTAATACACGTCTCAATATAAGCAGATCTAAAACGATAAAAAAAAAAGTACAACAGCTTTTGCTCGCCGTTTCTGATTCGTATTAGCTAGTTCTCTGTTTTACTTCTTCTCTATGGTTATTGTTTGGATTTTTCTAGATTTACTTAGAGATGCGATGAAGAGTTAATATCGGAAAGAATAGTTGATCGTACGCGAGATGAAATCCGATTATATTATGGTTCGTATTCGCTGAGCATCGAATTTTGTAGTTTAATAATAACGAAGGACCTATGGGTGAAACGCTGTAATTCAATGCGTATTCAAGCCAAGTTTACCTTCGTATATTCATTTATCGAAGATTGCCGGAATCTGTGTGTTATTCAGTTCCTGATTTCTATTTAAGTTTTCGATTAAATTTTCCTTTTTGTTATTGAGAAAAGCGAAGGACCCAGCAGGGAAGCGAGTAATGCTCATGAAATGAGGCTTCTCTAACAAATATATTTAACCTTCGCAGATTAATCTCTCCAAGAGATCGTTGATGATCTGTTATCAGATTATCGTGAGTTCTTGGTGTAAAGTTTTGATATGAATTTGAGTTGTTTTTTAATGTGTTTGAGAAATTGAAAGCAGGGATTGTGTGTATCGGCTTAGTGTTAACAATGCACTTTGTACGAAAGATTTCCCATTGCAATATGAATTAGGGGCAGATGGGCAGTTGTGATTCATTTTCTCTATTGAATAGCTCAACAATCATCTTCCCCACATCTATAAATGATTTTACGAAGGCGTAGAATGGAAGGGATGTGACAATGGAAAGTGTTTTATATGTTTGAAAGCAGGGATTGTGTGTATCGGCTTAGTGCTAACAGATGCACTTAGTACGAAAGATTTCCCATGCAAAATTTAATTGGGGGCAGATGGGCAGTTGTGATTCATCTCTCTATTGAATAGCTCAACAATCATCTTCCCCACATTTTGTTTTCTTTTTTATCCAAGTTTTTTCATTACAATGGTAACAATCTGTCCACTATTATAACTGAATTTACCGAAGGGAAGGGATGAAGTTTTTACTTTGAACTGCCTTTGCTACTATATTGCCTTAAACGAGACCTCCATGCCAGTTAAACAAGACTATTGACCATTTCATGTGAACTATGTTAACTCAATAGGCTAGTGAAACTAGCAGACTTAATTTGAAAACAAACTTTAGATGAATACGAACTTAAAGTAAAAAAGTTTGGAGGGCCATTGAGACATTAATTATAATCTGGCAATGCCAATAATATAATACGCTCTATCTACAGATCTCATCTTCAACAATGTTTCGAACTGAACTAATGAGATCAACTGATCAAACGAAAAATAGCTATCTATGAGCTCCTATTAGAACATAATCGACATTAACTCAAGATTTCTCCATCAACAATATTTATGGAACTCAAGTTAGGAGCCTGAGAGGAGCATCGTCCTATCTCCTAGAATCCGACCGGCTACTAACTAAGATCACTCTTGGGGAGTTTTAACCAGACATGAAGCCCAAATCTCATTGGCTGGTGGTGATGGCTGCACCAAATGTCCCGGAATCCGGCTGTATAGATAAAAACAAGACCTTTTTGCTCAAGAGATAAACATTTAAAGTTTGTCTAAAATTGTGAGGAAAAACAAAAAATGTTGAACTTACCTTCCTCCGGGACTCAGATATGCATCCCATTCTCTTCTGATCTGTATTTTTAAACTATCACTCAGATAAATCGTTAAAGTAAAAAATAAATGAGATGGGAGAGTTAAAGAGAACCCACCTCAATAAGCCTACCCATGTCCAAATTGCTTCCGTAGTAGTAGTGATAACACTCGACCGGTAAATTTGATACATTGTCGCAACCACTGTCAGGAGGAGCTTCTAATGTCTTCTCACAAGGCCCTGCTGCGACAGTATTGCTTTCTTTATCCGTGTCTTTGTTGATGATTTCCTTACTGGTGGCTATGCTAGTGTCTTCCTCGGAGGCAATGACATTCCCTTCGGCCTCTGTGTTGATTACAGACTGAGCTTGGTTTTCCTCTTGCTCCACCGCAGCGCGAACACTCTCGAAGAACTTGTCATCTTCTTCCGGAAGAAAATGACCTGCACAGTGTGTCCAAATAACCCATTTACTTCAGTCAGTCTATGGTTACAAAAAAGCACTGTACAACTTCAGATTGCTGACATACCTTGCTTCTTTAGTTTTTCGATTCTCAGCGAACGTAACTCTTTCATTTCCTCAACGATTAGAGCTAGTTCAAGCTGAAACATTGAAACCAAGAGACTATTTACGTTAACAAAATATGAATTCCTATGAAATCTATCTTGAGTTACCACTATAACATGATTAATATATGATTAGAAGTCTCACCTCGGGTTCTAGTCTCCTTCGCTCTCGTTTCGCCTTGACCTTCTCAATTGCCTTCATCTCATCGACCTGAAAAACAGACAAAACCCGTCAGATACCAGCACCAGGAACATATTTTGATTGCTTCACCACTTTTACCTTTCTGTTAGCCATGTCCTTGGCCATTTCCTTTTCCCTCCACTCATCAGCCTCTCGATCCGCTTGTTCAAATCTTTCAAGCTCCTGTATTATCAAAAAAGATAGAATCAACAACTCAAACATTGCTACATAACCTAAAACAGAGCTTTCAAACCCCACCTTAGCACGCATCTCTGCAACACACCGTCTCTTCTTCTTCTTCCAAAGCTTATTCCTTTTCGACTTCTTCATCCTACAAGTCAACCTCACCGCAGCAGATTTCTCCTCCCAGGGAGAATTCTCGTCAACAACAAACCTAAAAGGCTCAAGCTGTGCTCTCAATGTAGACATTAAATAATTAGCAGCTTCCACTGAAAATTTCTCCTGCTCTTCCAAATCAATCTTCACACTTTCTATATATCTCAAACACTCTACTCCTAACCCTTCTTCCACAGTTGAACCTTTACCATCTTTTATCATCCTCAATGCATCCAATTCCTTCTCCCTATGAAATTGCATAAGATTCTAGTAACTTAACCCTAAAATCACTACGCTAACTAAACCCTAGAATCAATACACTATCCTGTGTGGCATTTGCTTACATTGATTTTGCGAGGTGAAGCGTATCTTGGAGCTGTTTGAGCTGATTGCTTATGTTCGTTGTATTCCAGAACAGACCGTGACGAGGTGGATCCGGAGGTAGCATCGGAGACCAGTGGAAGGGAGGTTGATAATTCGCGGGATTCATGTTTTGGTTTGAGCTGCAGAACCTGTGTGGAAGCAATGAGAAGGAGGTTAGATTAAGGACGTGAAATGAGCTAATGATGATGGAGGTGGAGACTTACAGATAAAGATTTACACACGGAGGAGGAGATTACGGCGCCGGCAGAAGCAAAGGAAGAGAGTGTGTAGACTAGAGGGAGGGATTATTTTGGGCTTTCAGTATTGATATAGCTAGGCCCATGATAATAAGCCCAAGCCCATATGTATGGTCTTTTAATCAGTTTTTAATTTAACTGATTAGTAGTTTCTTATTGAATTCAAAAGGTTTGGATTTCAAGTTCTAAAAATTAGTTCATTAATAATTATACATAAATTAATATAATTTATTATATCAGATTTGCATGGAATCAAGTAAAATGGCATGCTAAATCTTCATAAAGAATCAAATATTTTTAAAATAGTCTAAACAGAAATGCTAGACATGGATTTTTTTATAAAATATATAGATGAAACTATTAATGAACAATAAAATAAATAAGTAATAAAACTAGGTATATGATCATTACTATAGTTTTTAATAAATGAATGTTAAAGTTTATTAACGTATTACCAAAGTTTGGTTACCATTTTCTGCTTTTAAATTTTATTCAGTGTTGAAAACTGTTCACTTTAGAGGACACTAAAGTTTCTTTTTTGAGTCAGCCATAAATAGATATAGATAGACCAACGCCAACTATCAAGTAATGACAGAGAAACTTTGCCAATATATTATGTAAAGACAACAAATGATCTGTCAATGGAGTTTTTCTTTTAATCACCATCCCTTTAATAGAGAGCCAACGTTAACCCAAGGAGAGTTTTACACGCTTAACCATGCAAATCGGTCCTAAAAACATGTGTCAAAGATTCGAATTATAGATTCCTAAATAATAACCAAACCAAATATATATAAAGAAATCACAAATAACAATTTCTATTCAGAATCTGTGAATTACCAAATCCATAGAGAGAAAGGTTTCTCTTACAACCTTTCTCAACTTGGGTTTCTCTTTAATTTCTAGATTCTGATTAAAACCATCTCTGTTTTTTAAACAATGGTGGAGCAGACAAAGAAGAGATTCATTACAAGCGATGATCTGAAAAAACACAACCAACCAGGAGATTTATGGATCTCCATCCAAGGCAAAGTCTACGACGTCTCCCACTGGGTCAAATCCCACCCCGGAGGCGAAGCAGCGATCCTAAACCTCGCGGGCCAAGACGTCACCGACGCCTTCATCGCTTACCATCCGGGAACCGCATGGCACCACCTCGAAAAGCTTCACAACGGTTACCACGTGAAAGACTTCCACGTGTCCCACGTGTCACGTGACTACCGTCGTTTAGCCGCGGAGTTCTCCAAACGCGGACTCTTCGATAAAAAAGGTCACGTGACTCTTTACACGCTCACGTGCGTCGCGGTGATGCTCGCGGCTGTTGTCTACGGTGTTGTTGCATGCACGAGCATCTGGGCCCACCTTGTATCCGCTGTTTTACTAGGTCTCCTCTGGATACAGAGCGCTTACGTGGGACATGACTCTGGNTAGCCGCGGAGTTCTCCAAACGCGGACTCTTCGATAAAAAAGGTCACGTGACTCTTTACACGCTCACGTGCGTCGCGGTGATGCTCGCGGCTGTTGTCTACGGTGTTGTTGCATGCACGAGCATCTGGGCCCACCTTGTATCCGCTGTTTTACTAGGTCTCCTCTGGATACAGAGCGCTTACGTGGGACATGACTCTGGTCATTACAACGTGACGTCGACGAAACCGTGTAATAAACTAGTCCAGCTTTTGTCTGGTAACTGCATCACCGGAATATCGATCGCGTGGTGGAAATGGACTCATAACGCTCATCACATCTCTTGTAACAGCCTTGACCATGATCCTGATCTCCAACACATCCCTGTCTTTGCCGTCTCCAACAAGTTCTTTAAGTCGATGACGTCACGTTTCTATGGAAGGAGGTTAACGTTTGATCCTCTGGCTCGGTTCTTTATCAGTTACCAACACTGGTCGTTTTATCCTGTGATGTGTGTCGGAAGAATCAATCTCTTTATCCAAACGTTTCTTTTGTTATTCTCGAGACGTCACGTTCCTGATAGAGCCTTGAACATAGCTGGGATTCTTGTTTTCTGGACATGGTTCCCTCTTTTGGTTTCGTTCCTACCAAACTGGCAAGAGAGGGTCATCTTTGTCTTTTTAAGCATGGCTGTCACGGCGATTCAACACGTTCAGTTTTGTCTAAACCATTTTGCTGCTGATGTGTACACCGGTCCGCCTAATGGTAACGATTGGTTTGAGAAGCAAACAGCTGGTACGCTTGATATATCGTGTAGGTCGTATATGGATTGGTTCTTTGGCGGGTTGCAGTTTCAGTTAGAGCATCATTTGTTCCCTAGGCTACCGCGTTGCCATCTGAGGGGAGTTTCTCCGGTGGTTCAGGAGCTTTGTAAGAAGCATAATCTACCGTATAGGAGTCTTTCTTGGTGGGAGGCTAATGTGTGGACGATTAGGACTCTGAGGAAAGCAGCGGTTCAAGCTAGAGATGTGACTAATCCTGTGTTGGAGAATTTGCTTTGGGAAGCTCTGAATACTCATGGCTAGAAAAAAAAACAGAACACACACAACAGTTTTGTTTGATTTAGTATGGTTATGGTGTTTAATTTCGTTTGTGCGGTACTTTTTCTAATGGAAGATGTGTGTTAGTTTTGGTTTTTGATGTCATCATAACTTGATCTCATAAATATATGCTCAGTTATTATAATGTTTAGATTTCTACATTTCTCAAGCAAAACGTTGAACAATGTGTTATTAAATAAATATATATTTAGTTACCAAAGTGAAGAAAGTCCCAAACATGGAAGGACCAGCTAGTTAACCAATGGTTTTATTAAATGTTCATAGGAAAACATGATACTAAGCATTAACTGCGAGATAGAGGGAAGAAACCAAATCTTTAAACCGTACAGAGAAAGCTTCGCAGTTCCAACGGTAACATGACATGACACATACAAAAAAGAAAGAAGCATATAATCAAACAATCTATCTTTTTTTTCGAGAGGGAGACACTTTCTTATCTCAATCTCATCTTCTGGTAGACATTATCAAAAAAAAAAAAAAACATCAAATAAAACTCTGAGAAAAAGCCTTTAACTTGAATCATCTGAGGAATGGAGTTCGGCGACAGCCTTTCCTTCGCCGCCGTTGTCCCCACTGTATACAAGAGAGAAGACTATAAGCGAACCAAACACGACACTGTTTTCTCCAAGTGGAAGGTTGATTTCGATCTTTGTAATAAAGTCTCTAACGTTTTTGCAAGAAACTAGACATAACTAGTTTTGTAACTTGAAGTGGTTTGATCTTTAGTCTTTGTCTGATAGTGTGCTGTTTGATAAAAAAAAATAATCTGTATACACAACACAGGTTCTGATAGGTTCGGAGGATTGGGAGGATTTCAAGAAAGGGAAAGAGGGTGTAGGTAGATACAGAGTAGAGAACTTACCACGTAGATCTTGTCCGGGTCTGTATGAGCTAGGTGTAGTAATAGCAGTCACTGACCAAGCCCGAGAGCTTGATTCGGATGATGATGATGTTCTGGTTGCATATATAGGACAAGCTGAAAGTGTTAGATCTAGGCTTCAGTGTTATGGACGCTCCGGTGCTCATTTCCGCAATCTTAACAACAACATTGATGATGGTTGTTGTGAGTCGTCTCCAGATAATAAGAAGGCGGGTTTGTTTGAGGACATTTTCATGAAACATGGCTCGCTTGTCTATAGATGGGCTCCGGTAATTTTTATCTTATTTTTACTTGTTTTTTTCTGTAATAACTTAATTTGAGACTTACTAACTAACTCAGTGTGTGTGAGATTTGTTTTCTTTCTTCAGATGAGGTGTAAGAGAGAAGCTGAGGCAACAGAAGGGATGCTTTTGAGCACTTTTGACTATGCTTGGAACAAAGGTAGCAACGGTGAGCGTCGCCATCTTGATTTGCTTAACAAGCTCGCTGATCTCAAGAAGAAGAGTTATACCAATTTCCTCCTCACTTCCATAATCAAACAACTCTCCCGATCCAGACCACAACCGGTTTCAGACAAACTTGATGAGATGATCTCACCTTCTTCTTCTGATTCTGTTGTTTGTGGAGTGGTACTTGAAAACGGGGATTGTTGCAGTAAAAGTCCAGTTAAAGGAAGAAAGAGATGCATAGAGCATAAAGGGCAAAGAATCTGCCGTGTCTCACCGGTTAAACTAAAACCACAGCCCCCTGAGACTACTACTTTCACCACCAGACAAGAAGATTGCAACAACACTGATCATGTTACTACAACAACCTGTGGAGTGATCTTACCAAACACGGAACCTTGCACTAAGAGACCTGTCCCAGGAAGAAAACGGTGTGAGGATCATAAAGGCATGAGGATTAACGCTTTCCTCTTTCTTCTTAACCGAACAGACCGCGAGAAAACCGTCAAATCTGAAGAAGAAGAAGATGATTTGACTCCTCGCTTCTGTGAAGCTACAACAAAGAAGGGTGTTCCTTGCACAAGAAGCTCTCCTAGAGGAAGCAAAAGGTGTTGGCAACACAAGGAGAAAGAGAATATTCATCCGGTGGTGGCCGTAACACAAGTAACATGCGGTGTTAAAGTGTGTAATGGAGGATTGGTCTGTGAGAGATCTCCGGTTAAGGGACGTAAAAGATGTGAAGAGCATAAGGGAATGAGAGTCATGATCACACCATCATCGTGACTTTGGTTAAGCTCGCTGTGTTGTTTGTACTAAACCGGTTTTGCTGGTTCACTGTACCAATTTCTGTACCGAATTAGTTATTTATTTTAAAATATTTAAATGTAAACCAGTGACTAAAATCACTAATTATTTTTAGTCTTTCAAATGATACGTGGTGATTTGTAGTTTGCTTCTATATCATAATCCCAACTCAAATTTAGGTGTTAGTGGGAATCCCCTATATATTATTTGAGAATCATTTAAAAAGTTGTAACCTTAAATTTGTAAGAATTAAAAATAACCCCAATCCTATGTGGCATAGCTCTTTGGCTTCTATTTCAAATCCCAAGGATTCTAGAGCATGTGATATAATGTATAGTTTAAAAATTGTATTCTCTAGCAATATAATATTTCGTAGACTATAGTTGCGCATATATCAAATATTTATTATTTCGCATGCTTTCCTTAAATAAAACCTACGGAATTACCTAATGTGACTAAAATATATATGACAATTAATGATTTTAAACAATAAAGATTTGATAACAATTTGTATACTTTTCTCATTTTGTTTATTTATTTATTATTAAAATAAATTACAAAATTACATTAATCGTAGAATAAAAATCTAGATTTTTTTGTGTGTATGTTGTATTTCGAATTTTTGAAAATGAGTTTAAATTACTAAAACTGTTAAAAGTCTCACATAAAATTTTAGGATCAAGGTTTTAATTTTTTCTATATTAAAATATAATGATTATAAGACCATATGAAGAAATAATTTTAGTTTATATATATATTTCATATCGTTTTAATTAAACTATAAATCGTATGAAAATAACTACTTATATTTTTATATATGTCTTCAAGAAATATTGAAAAGTTAATATTTTAATTTTGAAATATGTCATTGTTTTTTTTAAATGATTATAAATTATTGAAACTACTAAACATCTCACATTAAAAAAAATCATTGGAGTAAATTTTGTTACACAAATATGCAAATAATCATAAAATCATATGAGTAGAAACCTCATTTAATAAATATCAATATTAAAAGTGTGCCATATTACTATGTTTATATCATTTAAATTTGATTATATATCATATACAAAATATAAGATTGATTATTTTGATTTATTTACATAATTACGAATAAACAAGAGTGATAGTTAGATTTATATGCATACATCAATTTATTACATAATAGTGACTGATTTCTTAGTTATGTAATATATATATTTATTATTTTATTATTTATGATATGCAGAATATTATAAAATAAATTATAAATATAAAATACTTATTGTGAATAAAGTACATATATTAACCTAAGTATGTATCTTTTTAATTATTTAAAATCTTAAGTATTTTCTAAATCTCAGGTCAAAACAAATAAACGAAATGAGAATAAACTTCAAAATCAATATTTATATCGAGTAATAACCAAAATATAAGAAAACACAACAAGAGAAAAAATTGAAGATAAATAAGATTAACACGTGAACGTAAACTTCTCATAACCATAATTAATTTTTAAATTGTTAAATCATGATATAAAACTGAGTTAATATTTAATTTGTTAATTTTTATTTTTTTAATTTTTTAAATCATTGTGGTTATGTTAAATCATGACCATAATTAATTTTAAATTCTTTATATATATTTAAAAAACTTAAAATATTGTTTTTAAAAATAATTTAAAATTTAACTTAATTTTTTATAAAATTATTTAAAAATATTAATTTGTAAAAAAAAATATAGTTTTCTAATATTATTATACAAATAAATAAATAATATTAAATTAATTTTGAAACTTTATATATTTTAAATGCAATTATTTTACCAACTGCTTCTTAAAAAAACATTAGGAAATTTGCTAATACTCTAGCAATCAAGCCCAATGACACTCTGTTTATTTTCCATCATTCGAACACTAAAAAGTGAAAAGATATATGGAATCAGGTCCTTTAAATTATAAGATTTGATCTACAGTTCTAATTACAATTTTTATGATCCTATGTATAGCTAATTATTTAAAAATTTCAAAATTCTAAAATTTCAAATACATAAAGAAAATTATATGTAAATTTTAAATTTATCAATACTAAAATTTTATATTTTAATTACGTATATTCACCCTGCGCAAGGCGCAGGTCTTATCCTAGTTATAAGGATTGCAAGAATTTTAAAAGTTTAGTGTTATTAGTTTATAGATTCTTAAATCCTTAATAAAACCTAGCGTTGTTAGGTGAAGATTTTATAATTCTCTACAAAATTCAATTTTTTTTTCATTTGAAAAATTCTATAAATCTATTAAAGTTAATATTATTAGGAATTGTATTTTAAACAATTTAACTCATAGAGCAAGATTTTAAGAATATTACATATATTTTTTTAGATTGTTAAAATCGTTATAATAATTTATTTTTCAAGATTTTCACAATATACAAAATTAACTACAACTTTTTCCAAATTCAACAAATCTCTATATTTTTAAAATCAACAACTTCTCTATAAATTTAGTCAAAAAGAAAAAAAAAACTTCTCTATAAATCTTACTCTCACTAACACCCCTAATAATGTGTAGATGGTAAACTGACAAAAGCAGAAAATTAATTTGATTAATTTTTTTATTAATGAAACCTATGAAAATAGTTGCATAATATCAAAACTACAATGTGGAACTTTTTCCTTTTAAAAATGTTTAGTGTTACAACTATATATAGAGGTAGTCAAGAATTTGTAATTGGTGCATTTCCATAATGGGCTTTACTAGAGACTTGAAGGATAACCATTGATGGACCATTTTCAATTGTTACGTGTTCAAAAGTTTCACGGTCGTTATCGTTGAAGTTGACAAGTCTGATAATGGTTATCCTTTGAGAATTTACTTGGCCTATCCTCGCGTCGCGCTTTCTCGTCTTCTTCCTAATCTATGTATCAGCATATTCCTCTTCAAATCCTATTCTTACTCTCTTTTTTTTTGTTGGCTTATCTCCGAGAAAATATGATCATTGAAACCAAACCATGTTTGCTCTAGTTTAATCTTCATTCTCCTTCCAGCTTCTCCATTGCCCCCTGATGGCACTCCTCGTCCGTTCGCCAGAGATGATACCAACTGTATCGGCTAGAGTCTTCCCCTATTCGAACTCGAATGTAAGACATGCCTTTGTAAGGAAGAAGGTTACGGTTTCCGCAAGAAACATTACTGGTGTGAAGAATCAAAAATCAAGATTGTACGTGAAGTTCTCAGCTCCGGTGGTGAAAGAAGACTGTGAGATTAGTACACAGAACTACTACGTGAACATTGGTCACGCCGTTCGATGTCTTAGAGAGGAGCTTCCTTCCTTGTTCTACAAGGAGCCCAACTTTGACATTTACAGGTTTTACTGATTCTCGTTTCGTTTGTGACAAAAAAAAAAAAACTGATTCTCGTTCGTTAAAAATACTCTTCTGCTTAATCTCTTCTTGATTTATCACCTTTTGTCTAATTTTCACAGAGATGATATTGTGTTGAGAGACCCTATAAACATTTTCACGGGAATCGATAACTACAAAACAGTATTATGGGCGTTACGTTTCCATGGAAGGATCTTCTTCAGAGCACTCTGCATCGACATCATTAGTGTTTGGCAACCCACAGAGAACACTCTGTTGATTCGATGGACTGTTCACGGGATTCCTCGTGGTCCTTGGAAGACACGTGGTCGGTTTGATGGCACTTCAGAGTATAAATTC